CATTTTGGTACCCTTAGACCTTGTCACATCGTATGCCCTCAGTAAATATTTTAAAATAAAGTACTGGCTTGTGACCTAGAATAGCCCTGGCAAAGCAAGCAGAAGGGAAGGTTCCCTTCAAATGGAACCCTAGTTTTCTGGTTTTGAAAACTTAGCCTGTACCCAAAGAGCCTCAGTCCCCTCTGCTTGGAACCACCTGTCCAGAAAAAAAGCCAAAATAATGGGAACCACCGCAGAAGAGTTCGTTTCCACAGAGCTTCTCCAGTATATACTGCTTGGCAGAGAGAACAGGTACTCAAACCCTATCGCTGAATTGATGAAGTAATTTGATATTAACGCTAGCAATCAGCTACTGCCTTCTATTTGCCTACTCTGTGCTTGTCACTAGGAGAAGACACGGCAATATAAAATGTCATCTCTTCTTTTACAGCCTGGTTAGGGAGATGAGCAATGGTGGTGTGGATTCACAAGGAGTATTACAGGAAATCCAGGGAGGGGAATGACGAGGTTGGGGAAGGGCTCAGGACCAAGGTAGAGTTTGAGCTGGGTTTTAGAGGTGGCATTTAGCTGAGCAGAAGGGACACTGGTGGCCCTGAAGGGTGGGGATGGTGAAGAGATAGCATGAGGTAGACACAGAAGTGGGAAGAAGCCGCATGTGTCCAGGGAGCTCTGGGCAGAACACCCAACTAGGCGATAGATGGGGAGTGAGGGTTATGTGTGGTTTGTGGGGGACCTTGGAAGCCAGGGAGGGGACATGTTCCCCTCTAGGCAGTCCTGAATGCAGGAAGGAAAGACCCCCGGGTCCCCTATCAGTGGGCCCCTGACACCAGGATGGCCCTCCATTGTCTCCGGCTCCCACAGTGGTTGCTATGGGAATTGCTTATAAGTAGGCTCAGGTGTCAAAGAAAATGAGGCAGCAGAAAGGGAAATCAGGAGGCTGTCAAAGCTTCAGGAACCTGAGCTCCATGTTCTTAAAATCCTTTCACAATTATCAAAGTGCGGCCCTATCATACACTAAAACGTTTGGCCGTATACCTGTCTTTGGCCAAGGTATAAGTGAACACAACCCTGAAATCTGTACTAATAGAGCCACCAAATTAAAAGATGGTCAAAGAATCGCCAGCTGCTTAATTCAGTCCTGAGGGAAAAGGCAGCCTCTCTCTTCTGTTGCTTATTCCACGGAGCCGCTGGCTTCATATTTACTTCAAGGGGCTTGCAATGGCCCCGGAGGTACTTAGCAATTCTAGTCCTGTGTTTCAGGCCAAAATTCATTTCAGCCAGAAAGGGTGCCCATTGCAAAGTGAGACTCTCAGCTGCTTGGAGGAAAAATGGGGTCAGTCAGGAGCTCAGATGTCCCAGCTTTAAGGTACTCAGTCTATGCTTAGTGCGTTAGGACATTTCCAACAATTCCTGGGCACTATCCTCTCAGAGATTCTGACTTTTGAAGTCTGGTGTAGGCCTAGAAATCTGTGTTCTAACGAGCATTTCCCAGTGATTCTTATCATCAGGTAAGTTTTAGACATAGTGGGTGAGTGCACGCTAATGAGTTAGTGCAGGACTCTGTGAATTTCTTCTGTAAAGGGCCATATAGTAAATACTTCAGGCTTTGTAGGCCGTACGTGGTAGCACAAAAGCAGCCATAGGCAATGCATAAATGAAGAGAATGGCTGTGTTCCAGTAAAGCTTTATTTACTAAAATATGTGGTGGGCAGGAGTTGGCCCACACAGGCCCATAGTCTGCTGGCCCCTGAAGTGGATTCATTATTCCTTCTAGGTACCACAATTGAATGTTGACCAGGGCCTTCCCAATTCTCAGTACTTTAATTCAAATGAGCGACTCTAGGATCAAGAACTTCAGGCCCCATATTTGCACTTTGAAGATGCTTTGGGAAAGGGCGACCTTTGAGAGCCCCTCAAGTCACACTGCAAGGTAGGCGTCACCTGTGTCGCAGCATAAAGCTAGACATGACTCTATGACATGTAGCAGAGACCAGCTGACAAGGAGTGAGTCACCATCAGTGATCAAGGCTGAAGACCGAGAATAGGATGGAGTCTTAGAGACCAACAGGACAAGGGTCAATGAGGAATGAGGCACAAACAAGCTGAAAACAGCTGTACAACAGACACTGGAAATGACTGTAATCCTTGAGGATAGCAAGGAGGCTGTCCCCTCTCCATACGTGATACATAAGAGGGTACCAGTTAGGGCTCTTCATTTGTTCAAATCCATTCACTAGGACCAAGGTAGAACCAGACCAGCGAACGAAAGACCAGGAATTGGACTTCAGCTTCAGTCTGCTGTGGGGGATGATGGCTAATCCGAGACTCAGAAAATCTGGGTTCTGATTTTTGCTCCACTACTCAGTTATTTTGATGCATTGAGTAAACCGTATCCTCTTCCCTGGCCTCCATTTCTTATGTAAAAATGAAGGGTGGACTAAATGGCCCATTCAGGTCTCTAGAGGTGCCTCATTCCACACTGTGCATGAGGGCATTCGATGACGGATGATCACAGAGAAAAGAGAGGGTGGGTGTCAGGTAGAACAAAGAGTTCACCTACCTTGTGTCTGGCACCTCCGGTGGAAATGTGACTGCTGTGGAGACGGAGTCAAGCAGAGCTGCCTGAACAGAAGTACAGATCCTTCTATCTTGCCCCCTCCCTTTGCTCCTGCCGCAGCCCACAGCCTCCACGCAAGATTTGAGCACCAAGCTGTGCAACACAAAGGCATTTCTCGACTTCCATGAACAATCAACACCGTAATCACTTTCTGCAACGATCTCCAGCCCTGGATTTCCTTGTGCTACATTGTCTGCTGCCAACAAATTGCCTCTGTGGCTCAGGATGAGAAGTCTAAGGTTCCTTTAGCTCAGTGGTTCCCAACCTTAGCTGCATTTTGAAATCATTGGAAGCTTAAAAAGATACCAATACCTGGGCCCCATCCCCAGGAATTTAAAAATGTTTTAAAAACGCCGGGGTTTTTTTTAAAGCTCCTCCCTCCGGTGTTCCTGCCCTCTAGCCAGCACTGAGACTCAGTGGCTTTCTGCAGTCTGCCCTCTGTGGGGAGTAAGATTGTCGGCTCCGGAAGAGAACACAGCTGGGACCAGGGCCCAAGAGCTGACGAGGACGTTTGTTGCTGGTGTGTCTTTATCTTAGGGCCCTGCCCTCCTGTGGCTGATCTAGTAAATGAATCCCAACCGCAGCGTTAATGGCAGAAAATAGCTTAATGTATTGCCTTCCCAGCTGGTGGGGACCCTTCAGGGCCTTAACGCAAAGGAATGCTTGATTGTAGGGCTCGCAGGCTCCATGTCAAGACTGGTAGGGGAGATGGTTTGAAGGAGCCCCAAGCCTGATTTCCCCCTTCCTCATCTCAGTAAATGGCATCTCCATTCTTCCAGCTGACTCCTCTGTCTCACCTCCCACAACCGGTCCGTCAACATAGCATCTTGGTTCTATCTTCAGAATCTAGCCAGAATCCACTCACTTGGGATCATAGCGCCATTATTACCATCCTGGCCCAAGCCTCCATCATATTTTAAACTGTATTCCTGCAGTGGACTCCGAACAGGTCTCCCTCCTCTGGCTGCCACCCTCCTGTACTATTTTCCACACAGCAGACAGAGGCATCCGTTTTAAATGCAAGTCAGACCCTGTCTGCTCAAAACCCTCCGGTGGAGCAAAATCCAAAGTTCCTGACACGGCTTACAAGGCCTTACGTGATCCAGCCCCCAGACTCCTCTCCGGCTCCCCGCTCAGTCATTCCACTCCAGCCACACTGGGCTTCCTGGCTGTTCCGCACGCACCCCAGTCCTCCTCCCACCTCAGAGACTTTCTTGTTCTTTCTTCCTGGAAGGCTCTTGCTCCAGATATCCTCATGGCGGTCTCAACCTCACTTCCTTCAGGCCTCTGCTTAAATGTCACCTCCTGGAAGAGGTCTTCCCTGACCGTCCCATCTAAAATAACACCCCGGCCGCTCCCCCCCCCCTCACGGCCTCAGTCTCTGCTGTAGTCCCTCACTCTGCTCGATTTGTCCTCGTGTCCTTTTTTGCTACCTAAGAGGTATTTCTGTGTTTATTGTCTGTCTGTCTGTCCCTGCTAGGATGGGCGCTCCCTGAGGCCAGGGAGTTTTGCCCATCTTGTTCACTGCTGGATCCCTCATCACCTAGAACTGTGCCTGGCACAGAGTGGGCCCTCCCTAAATTTGTCACACGGATGAATAAATGCCCCCAAAGACATGAGGGTGCCCCTCACCAGGATTCCTGCATTTCCTCAAATCCACGGCCCACCCAGGCAAGACTTAGTTTCCAGCATTTGCTAACCATGCGTCCTGCTGAATTTGTGGGCGTTCCTGAATTTGTGGCGTTTTCGAAAACTGGAGAGCCTAGCTGATGGAGCATTTCTTAATAGAATTGGATGAACAAAGTAGTGGGGAGCCCAGAACTAGGAAGGCAGGACACCTGGGTAAAATCCCTAACGTCTCTACTCCCAAATAGTGTAGAAATTGTGGAGAAATCCTTTTGGAGGGCTAGGCCTCCTTTCTTCCACATCTGAAATAATATTTTCTAAGAGCCTCCATCCTAGGGGCAGGGCATATCTTTGAAGTGAATAAGATTATTTCTGTAAATCCTTTGCGATGTTCATATTCAGATGTAATAAAAACCACCATTTAGGTATATCTCACATTAAGAAAATCAAATACATGAAACTTCAGTGCATGTTATTACAAAGAATTTTTGCAAACTCCCCTAGGCCTAGAGCATTAATAATGGGATTCAACTTACTCCAATTCGATTCATGCCCAGCTTACACAGAACATACCAATCACCTAAGGAAGCACTTAGCACATTGCCTTGCACCTAGTAGGGAATCAATACTTATTTATCGACTTATTGATCAGCAGGGCAAAGGGTACCCATACGGAGACATCTTAAGTCCCACGCAGCAGAGGTCAGGTTTCTCCCAGGGGTGGAGAGCTCACCAGCCCTCTCTGTTCTTTTTCCAGTCCCCCAAATCCGCCTTCATCAGTGCTGCAAAGAAGGCCAAGCTGAGATCCAATCCCGTGAAGGTCCGATTTTCTGAGCAGGTGGCAATTGGAGAAACAGATGCAGTAAGTGCAGCTTCAGCCTCCTCCCCTCGGCCCTTGGCCAGAGTCGGCCTGGCCATCGAGGTCTCGCTCTGGGCCAGTTGCTCATCTGCTGCTCCTCAGAATGGACAGCATTATGAAGGGCTTGGAGGGGGGGAACCTTGGGGCTCTGGGTGGGCATTGAGTGAGGGGTATGTGGCACCCAGAGAAGCCCTGGGCATTGTGGGGAGAAGGAATATGTATCAATACACTCAGAATCCTCAGGGTGCTTCAAGAAATTTCCGTCTCGAGCACAGTGCTCCATAAACATCGTTTGGCTACTTGAAGGAAGGAAATAGTGGTTTTCTGAAGAGGCGGTGACACTGAGCTCTCTTCACGTTGAAGTGATCCCATAGCTCCAGGTCTCAATTGGAGAAGACTGTGCAATGAAGGGTGAAGCAGCCTGGGGGAAATGATATAGACTCATTAAGTCACAGAGCTTTTATTAGGCACCGGCTGTGTTCCCAGCGTTACAAGGGATGCAAAATAAATGCCTGTTCCCTGCCTCTGGATACCTCTCAGTGATGTTGGGAGTACAAGTGGCTCAGACTGAGACAGTATAGAATCCACCGCAGGGTGGTATGATTTCGAGGAGCAGGTGGTGCTTGACCGCCCATGCCATGCAGCGGCCAATCTGGGGGGTCATGGCCAGCCCACTCTTTCGCACTGCTTTGTGGGGTTAACGTGAACTGAGCCATCTGTTCCACATAAGCAAATGAGAAGAGGTGGGTGGAGCGCAGAAAGATGTGCATTAAGCGGCCATGGATGATAACTCCGAGTCCTCTAGGAATCTGCAGAAGTTGGTGATATCCCATGGGGGTGGGTGAGGGAAGGACAGCTGGAGCTAACAGGCACTGTGTGCTTTTACAGGCTGTCCTGGGCTGGGCTCTCGGTAGGCCCGTGGCATTTCTGTAGTGAGGAACAGCTGCAGCTGAGACAAGCTAGGAGGCCCAGCCTGAGTGGAGAAATCAGTGGGGCGCCAGGCACCCCTATAGTTCTTTGAGGCAGAGCCACCCAGAGGAAGGGATGGATAAAGGACAGAGGTGTCTTCCATCTCCATTTCCCTGACTCTTACACCCAAACTCCACCTAGGCCCTCCTCCATCCCTGTTCAAGGGAGGCTGTGAAGCCCAAGTGACAACTGGGCCCCATTGGCTAAGCCGTCGGAGTAATTGGTGGCTGGGCTCCGTGTCAGTCACAGAAGAAGAGGTTGAAGAGAAGCCAGGGCCAGTGAGCAGAGAGGAAAGGGAGCAGTGTGGAGTCCTTGTGGATCAGAGTAAAGCAGATCCTGAGGTCCAAGTCACTAAGGGGTCATTTGTGTCCTGAGCCCTTGAACACCCAGAGGAAGTGAGGCTTGAATTTGGAGAGTACAGATAGGTACAACCTATCCCGTCTCGGCATCACCGAGTAACCCACCAAGGCCAGGCCACCCAGTGAAGAATCCCTCCTCTCCTCCCCCTCCCCTTCTTTCCCTCCTTTCTCCTCCTCTTTCCTCTCCCTTCCCCACTCCCCCTTCCCCCCCCCATGACTCCCCTCTCCACATGTCACATCTAGCCACAGGCAGAAGCCGGCCCCCACTGCAGACCAACCTGCACATAAATGCCCCAGAGTGGCTAGAAGCCCCGCCCACCCCCACCCCCAGGGTCACTCTGTCGCTCCCGGACAGGCCACCAAGCATGGTGGAGGCTCTTGTCTGGGAGAGACACAGGGATCAACCTTCTCACTCTCGCTGTGCTCAGGAAATGATGTCACAGTACACACACACCCCCACCATCCCAGTGTGGACCGTAGCAGCTTCACCACTGGCCAGGTCCCGGCGGGAGTCCAGGCCCAGGTGACCCCCAGCTACCCTATCACCCCTTTCTCTTTGTGTTCCAGGGCTTTATTAAGCAGCCAGAACAAAAATAAATCCTGTGGGTGTTCCTTGCCAGCTCTATTTTTTAGCAAAATCAATTAAGTAATTATCTGAGTCCAACCCAGTGTGCTAAATAAAACCAGCCACCGCTGAGCATCATCAGCCTGGGAATCCGGGGCCTCTGGGCTTGGCGGGAGCGAGGCGTCTCGGGATCAGGGAGAGAACCGGGGAGTCACTTTTTCAGCTTTTGATCCCATCACTCCCCACTGTGGCTTGACTCCATCATGAAATGATCTGATGTCACAATAGCACCACCCCCCTCCTCCTACCACACCCTGACCCAGGAGGACTTGCTTATGTTTTCATAGTTTGTCCATGACAGTCCCTAGATCTGGACTGTTCTTGTCTGGCCTCTCTAATAGTCCACGCCTGCCACCTCCTTTAAAATCAAAATCCAATTCACCTCATCTAGGAAACCTTAGCTATCTTATACCTGTTGGTTTGATTTGGTGTTATTGTTGTTCTCTAGTGGATTTGTGTATGTGTTCCAGGTCACTACTAGTGTAAGGCTAGACCCCGGTCCTCTGCGCTTGCTGTAGCCCCGGGTATTCGAAAATGGGCTTTGGGGGCTTCCCTGGTGGTCCGGTGGCTAAGACTCTGTGCTCCCAATCCAGGGGGCCTGGGTTCGATCCCTGGTCAGGGAAGTAGATCCCACATGCCGTAACTAAATGATCCCGCATGCCGCAACGAAGATCCCGCACGCGGCAATGAAGATCCTGTGTGCCGCAACTAAGACCCAGTGCAGCCAAATTAATTCATTAATTAAAAAAAAATTTAAATGGGCTTTGCCAGTGGTTCTCAGTCAGGGTCAGTACCGCCCACTCTCAGAAAGCTTTGCGGAACATCTGAGGGTGTTTGGGGTCATCCCAACGATTTGGCGTGTTACTGACATTTACTGTTTCAGAGTCAGAGATGCTAAATGTCCTGCAGGGAGTGTGGCAGTCCCTGAATGATGAGTTGTTAGAGGTATGCAGGCATGAAAGAGCACTGTGGGTACCGGGAATGGTAAGATATGACTCTAGAGAAGTAGGCAGGGGCCAGGTCACCGAAGACCTAGGATGCCTTGAGGGAGGGAGACTGGCAGAGCAAAGGCGTGGACATGGAAGTTATCTCGATGTGTGAAGGGCCAGGTGGAAAGGCAGGAGTCAGGAGATAGGAGCAGGTGAGTGAGGCAGGCTCCTAAGGCCTTCCATCAGCCCTTCAGAGTGTGGTGGTCTCTATGGGCCAAGCCCCCTCTGAGCTGTGGAGCTTTGAGCCACAGTAGACTGTGGATGTGCTGTGACATCGAATGAAGGGTGAGCTTTGGATATGGCCCAGTGTCTTCTTGGAGAATTCGGTTCTGGTCTCCACGTTAACATTATCATTGATGGGTTCTTTCCTCTGTATCTCTGTCCTTCCATACCTTTGGCTCCCTGTCTCCTTCACTCACTCCTTTCTCTTCCTTTCCACGCCCCTCCTCTGGCTTCCCTCCTCCTTCTAAATGAGTCCCCCTCCTTGTCCTTTCCCTGCCTGTTCACAGAAGATGATGAAGAAAGAAGCTCTTCTCCTCATCCCCAATGTCCTGAAGGTTTTCTTAGAAAATGGGCAGATCAAGTCGTTCACGTTTGATGGCCGGACCACTGTTAAGGTACCCACAGGGTCTCCTCTCCTGGATTGGTGTTGTCCTCTCTTAGGAGGTGCTCTCCTCTGGAGCACACACCACTGCTGGTCCTTGGGTTCCTCTGAGTCTGCACCAAGCCGCTTGCTACCAGAGCAAGGTGGTCTTGGTCTTTGAACTCCTGCTTCTGGGAGCACCCTGTTGCAAAAACATACAGTCCTCGGATGACTGTGGTGAGGGAAAGTTGAATGCCCAACTGTGTGCTAGTGACTGTGTGTGTGTGTGTGTGTGTGTGTGTGTGTGTGCGCGCGCGTGCACGCGCGCGCGCGCGTGCACGCATGTACGTGTGCATGCATGTGTGTACGCATGCATGTGTGCACGCATCTGCTAACTGTTTCGTGTCCGTGTTACACTGCGTCCTTCAAGACTCTTAGGAGCTAAGGAGTATGAAGATCATTAAAACATTTATAAAGCAAAAGTGATTTAAGTTGATACAATAACACCTACGCAAGTTTACACACAGAAATCAACAAACCATCTCTCAGGAGATTAGCTTAGCCATGGCTTGCTTTTTAAATACCAACCAGCTCTTAAGCACTGAACCAAGATTTGAAAAGTCCACCGACAGTCCCTTTGGCTATTCCTTTCACAGGAAGAGCAATTAATGAGCTCTGATTCTTAACGGCTCAGCCAGGCATCTAGAAGTTGTAGTTATTCCCTTAGTCCTGAGGAGGAGAGGCGATGTACCATTAACCCCCAGGTTCAGCTCTGCTCTGGGATAGAAATATCTGCTCCTGCTTCTTCTGGATTCTCTCCAGAAAGAGAATGCCGTCCCCAGAATGAATGTTTCCATGCAATCAGTGCTGCCTGTCCAGAAAACCCACCTTGGCCCACGAATGTCCTGAGGTGCCCCTGCTGGGGCTAAGACAGCCCTATAAATAAAGCAAGCCCTGGGCCATGAAACTTTCCCTAAGAGGAGTTATCAGGTGTTCAGAATTGGCCTTGCCAGCGGTTCTCAGCCAGGGTTGGCACTGCCCCCTCCCAGGTAGTTTTTAGGCATGTCTGAGGGTATTTGGGGTCATCCCCATGGTTTGGCATGCTACTGGCATTTAGTGTCTCAGGGTCAGAGATGCTAAATGTCCTGCAAGTAATGGGACAGTCCCCGAATGATGAATTGTCCTGTCCAAAGTGCCAGTAGTGCCCGACTTGTAAAAGCCTGGGCCTAACCCGTGTTGATTGTCCGTGTTGATTGTCCCCAGGGGACTTAGGACCAAAACACACTCCTTAGGGTGCCCCAGAATGGTCTCTTGACTATTGAAGGTTTCCGTCTATGGGAGGGACATTGAAACTAGGCCACCCAGGGATGTCCAAGTTCCCCTCCTCCAGATGTGGGTATCTCTCTGTGTCAGAATCCTCCTTTGTGTTAAATCATGGACCGGTATGTCCGTTGTCGATCTGTCTCCACACTGGAGCATTTACTCCTCTCTTTCCCCGTGGAGGCTCCTCTGAGCGTCCTCCCACCTCACAGTGTCACCGCCGTTAATGCTTCCAGGTAGCCCCAGCCTTCCAGGACAGCAGCGTCCCCTGGCTTGTGACCTTACCATGACTTCAGGGAGGGTGCACTGGCTGTGCATTGGAACTTGGACAGGCTGCCAGGCCGCTTGTCCCAGAGAGGTACCTGGGTGAATTGACAGCCTGGCATGGGAGCTGTCAGACTTGTAACACCGGTTGGCAATCACCAGCTTGGCCGTCCACAGTCCCAAAGCAGCCGAACTGCAGAGAAAATCTCATCTCTCCCTGCCAGCACTTCAGCAACACTGGCGCCTCTGTGACTACTTGGATAATACAAAGAGATATTCTCAAGTACCCACCAATTTCCAGCCTAACATTTGAATAGCTAAACAGCTGTCAGTGTTCACTGAGGGGCTTGTTTGGCAACCCTGGCTGGAAGGGAGCTTCGCATTCCCAAGCCTGCTTCTTTCCGGCCTTCGGGGGCTGAGCGATGCCGAGTCTACGAACACACACGCTGGAGGCCGGCGTGTGCTGAAGTCACAGCAAATAGATGGTAGAAGAGTCTCGACACTGACATGGATCTGCCTCCAGACACCCTAATATTAAAAGTAGGGCAGCAGAGCAGACACAGTGCAGGAGTAGTCAAATTCATGACTGTACATAAAACACGTGACATTGTTCCTCTGCGTGGATGCATTTTTCAAGTTGCTAAATTGATCGTCTCTAAAAGCCAGCTAAATCAAAGAGGAACATTCTGCCAGTAACTCCAGTCATTCAGTTTAGGTTATGAATCCAGACATTGTCTACTTTTTAATCATGTCATTGTGGCTTTGGCTTTTGTTAACTCCTAAGTAAAGAGTTGCCGGACAAACCAGAGTGAACATTCTGACTTATGTGAGAAGCTGAGGGAAGAACCAACACAGTGCCTGGCACTTAGGACACACTCAGGAGACAATTTGTTGAACGAAAGGAGAGAGAGGGGGAGGAAGGGCCATGACCTTCTTTTGCCATATGCCTGGCCTGGCCAAGTTCAGAAGCACCTCCCTCCACCCCCTGCACCTGTGGTGTTCCCCAGGGCCCAGGCCTCTGAACAGCACTCCTGGGTCATTCTCCTCATCCTGGAGCACCGTGCCTGGGCTACCATAAAGGCCAGTGTCTCTGTCTGGCCCACTTTCCCAGCCTCAGTCTTCTCCCCAGGACTATCTTTCTGGATGTTCAGTCCCCTTCTCCCATCTTGGGTGCTTAGAGTATCTTAGAGCTGGAAGGGATCTCCCTCTCAAGGCTCTTTTGTCTTCCACAGGATGTCATGGTGACATTACAGGACCGGCTTTCCCTGAGGTACATTGAGCACTTTGCCCTCGTCCTTGAGTATGCCGGACCAGAACAGAACCACAAGTTCCTGCTTCTCCAGGACAAGCAGCCCCTGGCTTATGTAAGTAACTCCTTTGTCCTGGCCTGATAGCTTTGCAGATGGCCTTTAGTAGAGAAGAGGCCACCAGGTACTCTCCTTCTGGAAAATTCATCGTGATATGCTCAGCCAGCTCCCAGAAGTCCCAATTCTCAATCAAGATCTTTATGACCCACCCACAGAGGCCTTTTAAAATGTCTCTTGGGAATTCCCTGGAGGTCCAGTGGTTAGGACTCTGTGCTTTCACTGCCAAGGGCCCGGGTTCAATCCCTGGTCAGGGAGCTAAGGTCCCACAAGCTACACAGCACAGCCAAAAAAGACTCTGTTAAATGTCTCTTGTGACCTAAGAAAGGCATGACAGTTGTTAGTATTGGCGGTCACTAGTGGGGAAAGCATGGGGTGGTGATTTACTGCGTGCACGACTGAATTGTGCAGTGTCAACTCCACTGTCTCCTGGAGGCCCTGCTAAGACTTTTCCTCCTGTGAGGGGAAACTTTACCTTCAGGTGAAGGCTGTAATATGGAGGGATGAGCGAGTGGAGTCTAGTGAGACCCCTGAGGCCAGGACACATATGGGCTGGGAACGGGCTGAGTGGGACCAAGCACGGACAGCATGTCACCCGTGTCAAGTTCCAAAGTAGAGTAGGAGAAAGTGTCTTATCTTCCAAGCCTCTGGAAAAAGGCCAAGGAAATCCAGGATTGCTGGATAGTCTTTTACCAGTGGTGATGCACCATGGAGAGTAAGAGAGGCAACCAGGGCCAATCAATGTTCCCAGGGAGTGGGGACTTCCTTCCTTGGTGGTCCAGTCATTGAGACTCCGCGCCTCCAATACAGGGGATGGGGGTTCAATCCCCGGTCAGGGAACTAAGATCCCACATGCCGCATGGCGCGGCCAAATAAATAAAATAATTTCTCAGTTGCTTTAAAAAAATATATTCCCAGGGAGGGAGGGAAGGAGTTGGAGAGGGACGGCTGGGAAGAAATGTCTGAAGGAAGCGAAACAAAAGCTGAAATCAGACGCCCAAAAACGAAAGGATTTAGGAAAGAAGAATTCTTCAAGTATAGCTGTCAGCCAGATGCAGTCCAGAGACTCACCCGTTCCCACCTGTGAAGGAAAGGTGGGTGTCCTGCCTGGAGGGAGGCTTAAGCGCCTCCCCACCCCTCAAGGGGCCTTGTGGATCCAACTGGTCTCTTGTTCCAAATGGGATTTTTAAGCATTTTTATTACAAAAAAAATCTCAGATATACACCAAAGTGGAAGGAATTGGATAATGAACCCTCATTACCCATCCCAGCTTCAGCAGTTACTGGTATATTGCCAGCTTGTTTCAGCTACACCTTCAAATGGGATTTTAAGTCTTTGATCTGGTTTCTCATAAGCAACTTCCTTTGCTTGAGGCTGAGCCCCTCTGCAAGGCAAAGGCATTAGCCCCACAGCAAGAAGAGTCAGAGAAGTTGCCAGGAGCCCTTGCTTCCTACCTCATGTCCTGGGCCTTAGGTTGTTGATAAAGGCCAAGTCATGGATAAGTGGTTCGAAAATTCTAGTCACTTTGGGTCAGAAGGGCAGAAAAGACTTAGCTTCTCATCACTTTCCCCAATGGTAATTGGAGTCAGCCAGGCAGAAGACAGAATAGGAAACAGCACCCTAGCTCTGCCTCAGGCCCTGCCTTGAAGAGCCGCCGAGCTGACTCCTGGCACCCAGCCATTGATCCCAGCTCTCTTTTCCTCCCACCTCTCACCCCTGGGATTCAGGTAGTGCAGCGGACACACTATCATGGAATGAAATGCCTCTTCCGGATAAGTTTCTTTCCCAAAGACCCGGTGGAGCTGCTGCGTCGGGATCCTGCTGCTTTCGAGTACCTGTACATCCAGGTAGAGTCTGGCTTGGGGATACACAGACAGACAGACCAATGGACAAACAAGCTGGCAGGCTGTTCTGCCATCACAATGAAGTCACTACGTAAGCTTTTCCAACCTTCAGGTAGCTCTGAAGGCTCTCTCATTTTCTGCTACCACTGTAGGCCATGGTCAAGTTGGTTGGCCTGGCAACCTGAGCTGGCTCTGGCTCCAAGTCTTGTCTGTTTGTCTAGACAGATCTTATCAGTTTTCAGGAGGAAGCAACCCCAGTAACTCTGGCATCTTCACAGCATACCCTGGTTTAACAAGTGCATTTGAGTAACAGGAGGTCCCAATCCCCAATCCCGAGCTCCACTAAGGAGATGGTTCCCAATTCAGTTCATCCAGAAACATTTGCTGAGCACTTACTCTGGGCCAGGCCCTGTGCTAGGTGCTGACAATCAAGGTGGTCAAAGAACTATCCTAGATCGCTAGAGCTCATAGGCAGATATGTGCACAAATAAAGACAGTGTGACAGGCACTAGGAGGATGGCAGGGTACGATGTCAGTAGGGGCACTCAGGAAGCAATTTGCCAACTCTCCCTGGGAGGGCCACAATGCGGGCTTCACAGAGGAAGTGATACATGCATGCTGTTAGCCTTGAAAGATGAGTGGTGGATGTTTGCTGGGTGCAGAGATGGATGTTTAGTTCAAATAGTTTGGAGTTTGGTGACAAGACCTTGTCCACCCTCTCTCTCCCCTTTGTGATGATGTGTTCAGCTGTATTCCTTTTTTTATACTGAACAGCTTTAGTGAGGTCTAATTGACGCACGGCAAACTGCACATATTTAAAATGGCAGTTTGATAAGTCTTGGCATATGTTTATATCCACGAAACCATCACCACACTCAAGATATTAAACACATCCAACCAACACCCCCAAAAGCCTCCCCAGGCTCCTTTGTAATTCATACTCCCATCTCCAGGCAGCCACTGACCTGCTTTCTGTCACTGTAGATTAGTTTGCGTTTTCTACAGTTTTATACAAATGAAATCATACGGTATGAACACTTATTCTGATCTCACTTCTTTCACTCAGCATAATGATTTTGAGGTCCACCCATGTTGCTGTGTGTATCAGTAGTTCATTCCTTTTCATTGTTGAGTAGTGTTCTATGGTATGGATGTATAAAAATTTGTTTACCAGTTCACCTGCTGATGGACATTTGGGTTGTCTCCATGTTTTGGCTACTACAAATAAAACTCCTATGAACGTTCACGTACAAGTCTTTGTATGACATATGCTTTCTTTTCTCTTGGGTAAATACCTAAGAATGGAATGGCTTGGTTCATACGGTAGATCTATCTTTCCTTAATTTCTTGAAGAAACTCCAGTGCTGTTTTCCAAAGTGGCTGTACCATTTTATGTAAGCACCAGCCGTGTGTTAGAGTCCCAGTTTCTCCACATCCTCACCAGCACTTGGTGTTAGCAGTATTTTTTAAATTTCCATCACTCTAATCGCATGCAGGGGTATCTCATTCTGGTTTTCATTTGCATTTCCCTAATGACTAATGATGTTGAACACCTTTTCATGTGCCTCCTTGTCATCATGCAGCTTTTTTGGTGAAGTGTCTATTCAAATCTTTTGCCCACTTTTTAAATTGGGGTTGTTTGTTTACTTATTATTGAGTTTTGAGAGTTATTTGTGTATTCTGGATACAAGTCATTTGTATGTTACTTGCAGTTATCTTCTCCCAGTCTCTAACTCAGCACAATGGGCAACTGGTCTAACCAAGGCTGAATCCTTGATAGCTGGGATTCTGACCTTCAGGGTTTGGGGGTTGTCATACCTTTGGCCAGTAGTTCCAGGAGACCCTTTTTGGGATAGCATAGGGAAGACTGACTCATCACTGCTTTGATCTTCAGACCCCAAGGAAAGAATATCTGCCCCATCCCTGCAATCCGTCTCTCACTGTGGGCTTCTGGGCCAGAGACCTGTAGAGAATCCCTCCCAGTGTCTCTCTTCCTTTGTTCCCATCTGAGCTGGCAGAGGAGCCTCCGATGGCTGGGGCTGGGGGGCGGTGAGTATAGGCCCCAGAGAAAAGGCAGAAAGGTCTCTTGTAACAGGAGGAAAGAAAGGGAGTGGTGCCATGTCTCACTTTTGCAGCGCCCTAGATGTTCTGACCATTTGTGCCTTGCCATTGTGTGTACCAGTCACTGAGAAGGGGGCTGTCCAATATCCGCTGAATGAAGCAAATAGTGTCTCTGAGACCTGAGGTTCCTCTGTTACCTCTTCCCCAAGGGCAGAATCTTCCTCTTCCGCTTGATCTAGGACGCTTACTTACACCACAAGTTTTTCCTAGGATATAAGGGAGTCCGTGGGGGTGGGGGGGCAGTGGTCAACAGACCTGTGTACCTAGAAGGAGAAGAAGAAGGGGAAGGGGAAGGGAAGGGGAAGGGGAAGGAGACGGATATGTAACACGTTAGATGATGGATGATGGCACAGCTGGGTTTCAAAGGAAAGCTTTGGATTCCAAGTACAGACATCCCAATATTTTCGGTGCTTTTGGGCTGCAGAGAATAGAAAAATTTAAAACAAACCAACAAAGAAAACCCCACACAGAAACACAGAACCATGTGAAATGTGTTGTTTTGCCGCCATGGATCTTTTGTCACTATGTGGATGAACATGAGGATAGTGAGCTTATTCAGAAACAGTTGGCAATGAGAGTAATGACACCAGCAATTCGTTAAAATATGGCTGGGGGGGGGGGGGGTGGGGGGGGTGGGGGGGTGGGGAGGGAACGTCTCCTTTAACTGACGGGTTTGGACTGCCCTCTCTCACAGAGTCGGAACGATGTCATCCGAGAACGCTTTGGAATGGACCCCAAGCCAGAGATGCTTTTGGGCCTTGCTGCCCTCCACATCTATATCACTGTCTCAGCTACTCGACCTAGTCAGAAGATCTCACTCAAGAATGTGGAGTGAGTTGCGCCAGGGCCCTTCAGGATGGGGGCAAATAGCTGTGTAGGGAGAAGGTGCAGTGGTTGAGCTGTGCTCTGCTTTTTAGGAATGTGGGCCTGGGATGGGAGTGAGAATTGGAATTCCTCACACCTAGACCAGGATGCCCTTGAGCTACAGCTTCTACTAGAGAACTGTGGCCAATGTTACTCGCCTGCCTCCAGCCCCTCTCTGTCTCTCTCTCCTAATCTCCATTCCTCCATCTCTGTCTCAGATTTCAGCTAGTCTCTGTCTTGCCGTTTTGCTTTCTCTGTCTCACCTTGTCTCTCTAATTTCTTACTTTTCTTCTGCTTTTAGGAAGGAGTGGGGCCTGGAACCCTTTCTTCCCCCCTCCCTCCTACAGGGCATCAAAGAGAAGAACCTCCGGAAATCTCTCTCTCAGCAGCTGAAGGCGCACCAAACACATCCTTCCAGCAGCACCAAGGTATCCAGAGTAGGCCACCGGGGCACCCTGCTCGGGCACTGGGGACTCCAGCCATGGGGGACTCCTGTGTGGTTTCCCAGCAGGTGTGGTCTTCTGGGGAACCCTTCCCACTGTTTTTTGACTTGGATACACATCCAGCCTGGCCAGATATGGGGCATGATTGTGGAGAGGGGTTTTCCCCAAGCCTGAGACACCCCCAGAGACTGCTCAGTGGCAAGTCACTGGGAGAGCCCAGGGTCCTCAAAGCAAAAGGACAAAGGTGCAGGAGGAGAATATTCTTGGGTCGTTCCACCCATTTAGTCAGTGCTGATGAAGCACTTGTCGTGTGGACAGCACTGGACCCTGGGGAGACATGTTTCCCATGGAAACAACTGCTCTGCCCCTCATCCGCTTTCTAATTCATCAGCCCTGGTACAGGGAATTCTGGGAGATAAAAGCCCAGCCCCATGGGACAAGGCCTGACCTGGAGAATGGGTCGCCGGGTGGCAGGTGGAGGACTCAGGTCACTGCTGTGCTCTCCTGCACTTTCCCACTCCCTGCCTTCCCAGCCCCGCAGGCCCTTCTCAGGCTTGCAAGGCTCAGTCTGCTTGCCTAGGAGGCAGGCGGGTGGTGAGGGGCACCAGAATCCACGTGCAGATGGAGACACTGGACACAGGTGCCCCCTTATATTCCACCCATGCCAGATTCCCTGCATTACCAACTAGCTTCTCTTTTAAGATGCAGATTTCCCCCGGAGAGTTAAGCCATTCCTACTTTGCTGTGCATATTTAATCAGATTGTTTTCTTCCCAGCTGAGAGCTTCAGGGCTCCCAACCATCTTCTCAGCAAACACTTTTTCTCTGAGCGCCCCCCACCCCCAGGGCTTGGGCTGGAGATACAAAGATGAAGAAGGCCCGGTCTCTGCCCTCAAGTCAGGCACAGGCTGGTGGGGAAACAAGAGGCAGTCACAACACAGTGCGACCAGTGCAGGTGCCCTGGAGGCGCGGAGGGACAGCAGCCAGCCCAGCCTGTAGGAGATGGGAAAGGCCAGGAATCGGTGCATTTGATGCCAGAGTTGGGTCTTAAAGGACAGATAGAAGTTTGTCTAGATGAGTTGCGGGGAGGAAGACTTTCCCAGGCAGGGGGAGATCCAAAGAGATCAGCATAAACCAGTGCGGAGGGTTCAAGGAAGCTGCCTGAGTGGGGTGCGGGCAAGAGAGGAGGCCAAAGAGGTTGGCAGGAACCTGTTCACGGAGGGCCTCGTGTGCCGCGGAAAGGGGTTCTCCTTCACCCTGTAGGCAGCATGGAGCCACTGAAGGGTTTAAGCGGCCAGTGGTGTGATTATGTTTTAGGCTGTTCCCTCTAACTGCAGATGCGGAGGCGTGGAGGGAAAGGAGTGTTAGCACTGAAGGTAACCCGGCTGCCACCGTGATGCAAGTGGGGGACATCCAGGCAATGACCGCGGGGCTCGAGAAGAGGGATGGGTAGGGTGGAGAGGGAGTTAGGAGGTAGAATCAAGATGATCGGGTGACTGGTGGCCCTCAGGTGAGAGGCTGAGGGACGAGTCCAGTGTGACTCACAGGTTTCTGGCTCAAGTGCCCGGGGGATGTGGGTCCCACTGATGGAGACTTTTCTGCCAGAGGAAGAGCAGGCTCGGACGTAGAGGTGCTCAGGATAAGGGTACTGAGTGCGACCCCCAGTTGGGGAGGGCCAGTACCTAGTGGCCATCAGGGATCTCAGGAGAGAGGTATAGATGTCGTGGGGTGTTGGAGTTGGGGAAAGGCATCAAAATTAACCGAGGAACAAAATGAGTAAGCTGGATTCTTCAGGACTGAGGATCAGGGGATAGGAGGAGGGTTTAGGAAGGGAGATGGGATGCTAGAGTCTGGCGAGAGCTGTCCAAACTGGAACCTTCCTGTGGTTCTCCCGAGCGTCCCACAGTGGGGCTTGCTGACTGGTCTGACTAGTGCCTGTCCTAAGCTGTTGACCCTCCTTCCGGCGAACATGGGTTTTGCTTTTCCTGTGCACCTCAAGTTTCTCATATCATCTCTGAGTCGGTTGTTTCCACAGGGCTCTGCAATTCAGGCCAAACTCCAGTATCTTCGAATTCTGAATGAACTTCCGACGTTCACGGGCGTTTTGTTCAACACTGTGGGCCTGGTAAGTGAGGGCAGTGACGGGGAGGGAACCCTTCGGGGGCGCTTGTCCTTGGCTGGGGGGGACAGGAGAGACTCCATTAGACCTTTCAGGTGGCATATGCTCTGTCCTCCTCCTCCTCCTTCTCCCTCTTCCCTCCCGTGGTGCTCTGGTCCCGCCTCTGGTAAAATGGTTAAAGTAGGAGGCAAAAAAAAATAAAATAAAAAATTTCAGGAATTCCCCGGCGGTCCAGTGACTAGGACTCCGCACTGTTACTGCCCAGGGCCTGGGTTCGATCCCTGGTTGGGGAATTAAGATCCCGCAAGCCTCGCGATGCGGACAAAAAGAAAAGATAAAATGTAAAGTAGGAGGCTATGTTTGTTTACAGTATCCCTCTAGGCTCTTTTGTGCCCCCTTTTCTCAACTTCAGAGGTTAGCAAACTCTTTTTATACAGGGCCAGATAAGTGAATAGTTTAGGCCTGGCCGGCAGGCCGTGAAAGTCCCTGTCGCAACTTCTCAGCCCTGCCATTGCAGCATGAATGCAGCGGTGGGCAACGCATAGGCAGATGGGCCTGGCTGTGTTCCAATATCTCTTTGTTTACGGGACACTGAAATGTGAATTTCATGTGCTTTTCACATGTCACAAAATAGGGTTCTTTTGAATTTTTTCCAAGCATTTAAAAATGTATAAAACCATTCTTAGTCCTGTGAGCTGGACAAAAACTGGCAGAGGGCTGGATTTGGCCTGTGGGCCAGAGTTTGCCGACCCCTGCCGTGTTTCATTGCTCTTACCTATATTCCCTCAATCCCCTAGCCCAGACGTCCCCCCTCCCTGCCAGGGCCTTCACTATAGCAACGCTCCTCTCCATCGGGGCACAAGTGGTCCCCCTAAGACTGTGCCCCAGGCTAGTTTACCCTAGTGAGCCTCGGTGAAAGGAAATTCAAATCATCTTGCTGACTGGATCCAGGTGCTTGTCACGCTCTGGGGAACACGCTGTCATGCTCGTGGGGCAACTGATGGAAAGCCGCTTATCGAAGGGTCTAGAGCAGATGGCAGTAGGTTCCTCGGGAATGATGCTAATGCCAGGGAATGGGCCGGCAGAGGGCTCAGGCTTGATGGCGCCAAGGAGCCTGTCACGAACACTTAAGGGAATCCAGTCCATCAGGCGCAGAGGTGGCTGTTTACATACTGGGATTTGAGGATTACGGAAAGCCCAGTGTTGAAATTCTTATAGGTCATTCCTCTGGGGTAAGACTGCTGTAGTGCCTATTAAAGGGCAAATATCTTAGGGCGGGAGGTCCCCCTCCACTCCTCCAGTCATTAAGCACCCAGTCAACCTTTGACACCTTGGGCAGAGTTACTTTGTCACTTCAGCTTTTAGCACCAGGTGAGAAGTGCAAGTTCAAGTGGCTGTTGGTGAGGGAGGGTAAAGACCAAACAGAGGATGCCACCTGTTCAGACAGAGCACCAGGTGGGAGCCTTGAGTGGCCTGAGGCAACAAATGGAAAATCCCTAGGGCTTGGTAGGAAGAGGGTGCTTCCAAGGCGCCAAAATAAACCTCACCTATTTGACGATTTTGCTAGAACCAGCCCTGCTGCTGCCCTCTTCACTCTCCCTTCTGCTGAGGCTAATGTGTCCATTCGGACCAATGATCCGGGGCCCTGGCCTGAGAACAGGGGCGTCCCAGACCTTTTTCCCCTCGAGGTTGTCCTCTGGCCCTGGCACTGAGCTCCAGATGTTTCCAGACCTTCCAGCAGAACCGGTCCAACGCCTGTTTTCTATTTCCTCCTCCCGCCTCGTCTCCTCACTTCCCCTGCCCTTCTTTCTTTGAATGCTGCCCACCACGCCGGGGCACCAGGATGAGAAGCAGTCGGCCACCACCCTCCTAGTGGGACCCCGTCACGGCATCAGCCATGTTATTGACCTCAAAACCAACCTCACCACTGTGCTGTCCGAGTTCAGCAAGATCAGCAAGATCCAGCTGTTCCGGGAGAACCAGGGCGTGGCCCGGGTGGAGACCAGCATCATGGATGCCAAGGTAAGCGCGGCTTCGAGGGGCTGCCTCTTCCCAGGAGCAGGCCTTGGGAACAGAGGAAGAAGTAAACTTGAGAAGCAGGGTGTCAACCCATTAGGTGAGGTTCAGTGATTCTGAAGTGGTTCAGACCCTGGGCCTTTGGGGGCTCATCTTTCTTTCTGTTCTCAACCCTCTGGGACACTGTCTCGACCCCATATTAAGGTCAGGCGGTGCTAGGGAAGGCTAGAAAGTGTCTGATCAACCTGTGACAGGTTTTCAGCGATGGGCAGGGAGATTGGGCAACTTGGAGCTACCTCCCAGGCCATTGCTTCCCAATCTTTCTCGTGGCACAGCACACAGAGAAAATTATATTCGTGCGGGACACTGGGTTAAATGGACCAGCCCCGGGGACGCTGCCCCCAAGGCTGAAGGGATATGTGCACGCCAGTTAGGGAGCCCTGCCGTAGGCGTGCACACTTGGATCCATGGAGGAGAGGGTGTCTGAGTATGTGGACAGAACCAACGGGGCCTGGGGAGACAGGGAGCAGGCAGAAACCTCGTCCCCATTTCACCTCCCAGAGTCCAGCTCTTCTCGAATCTTAGAACCTTTCCCATAGATCAGCTCGTTCAGACTGGCAAGCAGCTGTCGCCTGTGCAGAGTCTGACAGCCGTGGTCAGCCGCCTCCTCCATGGCTCTCCTGTGTGAACACCCAGTGACCAGTGTGGGTGGCGGAAGGCCTGCCTGCCAGCTGGCGGATGCTCTTAGACGAGGAGCAAGTTTCCTTTCTTAAAGGATTTCCCAGGGGGAGATGTTGTTAGCAGATTAACGGGTGGAACGTTTGCTGTTTCTAAACGAGCAAATTATTTGTTTGTGTCTTTGTGAAACCCAGGAAGCTTTAATATGTTAAGTTTTCACCTGTGATTCAGAGGCTTCCCATTGGTTTAGGAACCTGCCCGGAGCTGGTATTTCATTGGCTTGTGGCCGCTTCCTCAACCAGTGATGGCTGCCCTCCTCAGACGTTGCTGGGTAAAAAGCCAAACGGACAGGTAGGGAAGCGTGGGAGGAAAGACAAGACATGCAGGGGAGGTATGGCTTCCTGAGAAATAAAAAGGGTTTAAAACTGAGAAACACCTTTCCAACCAAGTCTCCTGTGTTCTACGAGTGATTCTCAATGTTGGCTACACAACAGAATTTCCTTGAGAGCTTTTAAAAAATACAGATGACTGGACCCTACTCCCATGGATTGTGATTTAATTGGTCAGGGTACAGCCTGAGCGTCAGGATTTATTTCTTTTTCACTTCCCAGGTGATTCTGTAGTACAGCCAGGTTTGAGAACCACTGACCTCTGGGTCCAAAGCTCTGGGAGGAACCAGCCCAAGCAGGGTCAGTGGATGTTGCCTGAGTGAGGAACACTATTCTCATTTCTAGGAGTGATCTGGCCACAGTTGTGGGCATGAATGCTTCCCAGGCGGGGTCTTGCTCTTACTGGGGAGACTCACAAAGGCACATGACCTGCCTTAATCACACCACATTGGAACATGTATGGAGTTCTGGAATCAGACAGACCAGGTTCAAATCCCAGCTCTACCACTTCCTAGCTGTGTGGCCTTGAAAAGGTGTCTTAACTTCTCTGAACCCTGATTTCCTCAACTGCAAAATGGAGTGCCTTCCTCCAAAGGTTGTCGTTCAGGATTACATGAGAAAACGTAGGTAAAACGTCTTGGGACACTGCCTGACACAGAGTAAGTAGTCAACAAACAAGACCTGTTATTTTTGCCAAAGCAAAACAGCAATGAGGAGAAGTTCATATGAAGTAAAATTTTGTAGGTAAGTGTGGTGTGGAACGTGGAACAAAAGAAGAGGAAGGGGTTAACCAGAACGGGCTTCCCACAAGAGGGTATTTGAAGCTGGATCTTGAAGTGATAGGCATGGATTAGCAGGGAGAAGTGGGATGTGTTCACAGGAAGAGAGTAAGCACAGAAATAAGTAAGCCATATGTGCAGGTCGATAAGCATAGTTGCTTGACTGGAGAGGAGAATAATGAGAAAAGAGATTGGAGAGAGATTGGCAGTGGGCAGAACCAGCTGGTGAAAAGCTTCGAAGGCCAGTCCGAGGAATTGAGAATCCTAGTGGGAATCCACTGTAGGCCCTTGAAGAGAGGAGTGACAGGATGGAAGCTGACTGGGACCAGTGTACCAGATGGATGTCTGCAAGGCTAGTGCCAAGCCAGGGAGGCGGGGAGGGGATCGTAGTGCTAGTGCAGGTGTGAAGTGACAAGGGCAGGGCCTGAGCTGGAGGAATAGCAGTGGTAATGGAAAAGAAAGAGTGAGGATGAAACACAGAATCACTAAGAGTGCATGCGCATCCCCTTACACATTCCTGTCTTGCACACACAAAGCACAAGTCGTACGTAACCCTTACTGCCTGCTGCCTGTATCCTGAGTGCACTGAACAACAGTGCTGCGCACACAGCACACGGACGGTCCAAATCGTGGGTGGGTGAAGAGGTGAGAGCCTACATCGCAGGATAAACAGGACATCGTGTTGGTGCATGGAGGGGGCTACGAGAAGGTTGCACTTTGCTGAGTGAGTGCTGTGGAGGCAAGAACTCAAAGGTACCGGTCCCCTGGGACTCAAGGACCGTCATCTTGTACACTTACTCCTCCAGGCCCCTGGATTCCGATTTTTTTTCCCTGTTTTCAGGGATGCTAGCATGAGGTAAGGCTACCCCAAAGCCAGTCCCCTCCCTAGCTGGCATCCCAAAGTGCTGGCTGGGTTTGAGCTCCCCGGGCACCCCAGGAAGGAGATGGGACTAGAGCATGTCAAATTAATGCCTGCTGTACCTTCTCAGGGCTGGCCATGCCTCCAACTCCATTCTCCTTTTCTCCTTTTCCATTTGAAGATGGCCTGGGCATATTTAGTTACAGTTTTCACTCAGCTTACTTGCTCTTAGTGGGGCAAACGTGAGGTAGTATGCAAGTATCTTTCTTCAGGAGACAGCACAGTCTGGGACTGAGACAGCTCTGGGCCACTACCATACCCCATTACCACAGGAGCCCATAAGGGGGGAAAGTAAACCAGCAAAGGAAAGTCCCAAGGGATCTCTTGCGGTCCAGCGTGTCTCCTCTTCTCGTGTTTGAGCCTTATTGCTCTCGTGCTTTCTGTCGGGACAAGCATTACATTAGACGTCATGATCATTAAAATTCTATTTAAAATAAAATGTTGTTTTTGAAGGTTTCTAAGAAAACCTATCCGGTCTCTTTGCTTGCCTACCTTTGATTTGATTTTTACCCCTGCTGGCAAAAATTGCTTCTGTGTCCCTTTTGCCAGCTGCATTTGGCCGGTGCTGGGACCCAGTGGGCTGTGGGTGGATGCAGACGAGAGGCTGCTGATGTGCTGTGCTGAACCAGTTTGGGCTGTGTTCGGCCCTCTCTGGGCACAAGGTTTTGCCTTCATGCTGTTTTATTACCGACATTGGGCTGTATTTGGGGTAAGAGAGAAGAGGGGAAATTGAAGGCAGACAGTTAAGTCAATCAGCCAGTTAGGCACTCAGCCTCTGATCTGTCCATTGGCCAGCAGACCAGCCAGCCAGGCAGCTAACCAGTCAGGATGTCAGGCTGGTAGGCATTCTGCCTGTCCTGCAGACAGCTAGTCAGCCAGGACATCGGTGAGTCAGGCTACTCTGCAGCCAGCTAGTCTGTCAGTCTGTCCATCAGTCAGTCAGCCAGTCAGCCTGTGCTTCGGTCCAGTGGTCTCTCATTCTGTTTGTCAGCCAATGCCATTTCCTCAAAGAAGCTCCCTCCAGCTTCTGAAACCAAAGTAGTCACACATGCACACATTCACACCCACCCATCCACCCATACCCCAGTCCGGGGTATTCTGTGTTCTGGTAGGTCTCTCTACTTTTCCTTCATAGTGCTTCTCATACCTTGCAATCATATTCCTCTGTGTGATTATTTCATTTATGTCTCCTTTTTTTGGCCACACCACGAGGCTTGTGGGATCTTAGTTCCCCGACCAGGGATTGAACCCAGTCCACCACAGTGAAAGCACTGAGTCCTAACCACTGGACCGCCAGGAAATTCCCTTCATTTATGTCTTATTTCCTGATGGTTTATAAACTCCACGAGGGCAGGACCTGCGTTGGCCCCATTCTGGGATGCACAGCTGCATCTCTCAATGGGCCGCGTGGTCCATGAGCCATCTAGCCAGTGCGTAGCAGCTTGCTGGGTGGACAGAGTGGGGCACGGGAGCATTTCAGTCAGAGGGAACAACATAGGTTAAGGTATGAATGGGTAGAACAACAAGGCCTCTCTAGCACCCTGTAAATGAAGTGGTGTTGCTGGAGCATACGGTGAGGGACAGTGGCGGGAGGAGGGCAGAGTTAGTGGGAGATGTGCTTGGAGCTATAGATGATTGGGTCACAAGAGGCTTTGTGTGACGTTGAAAGGCTGTGGGTTTTAGGTGATGCGCTATTAAAGATTTTAAGTGAGAGTTGTGTTTCAGGAAGACACTCAGGCAGTAATATGGAGGTGAAGTGGGTAGAGCCTAGAAGCAGAGAGGCCGATCAGGAGGCTATTGAAGGTCTTGAGGTGAGTGTGTCCCCACCTTTTCCATATCATGAAAATACCACAATTTGTACGGCCCACTGGAATAAACAGATGAGGCACCTTGTGGCCAGAGGCAACAGGACCCAGAAGCTGAGGGGCTCAGGATCTCAGCACACTTGTGACCCATTCACATACACCTTGAGAAGTTTTGGCCTTGGAGGAAGACGTTGAGGGTCCGAAATAAAGCAGTGGCAGCGGGGACGGCCAGGATGTCTGTGAATGCTCTGGAGGCCAGCTTAGCAGGTCTGGGGACCTCATAGTAATGGCGGTAGCAGCTGTCCACACCCAAACCTCTGTCATTGGTGGTAGGGGGCGAGGCAGAAAGGAAGGGCATCTTATTCTCCCCCCACCCCCGTTCTATTCCCCTTCTGTCTCTACTTTGTTGTACCCAGAGTTGACCATTCTGTTGTGATTAAGAAGCATGCATTAACTGGAGGTACAGACATCCCCTCTGCCCCTTCCAAATGATGACCCAAAGGTAACATCTCATCCCTGGTCCCTTTCTCACTGGAGAAAGGAGCCATGGCTCTTCCG